TGTGTGTGTGTGTGTGTGTGTGTGTGTGTGTGTGTGTGTGTGTGTGTGTGTGTGTGTGTGTGTGTGTGTGTGTGTGTGTTTAAACTCATATTTCAACTACAAACTCATAGATATAACTCAAAACTCTTCTAATTTATTCTTCTATCTCTTTCTTCATTGGCACTGAATCGGACGACATTCCTTCATCTGCTCCCGTATAACGAATTATACGATCATCGTATATACACAAACATAAACAAGTAGGTTGAGCTAACATGCAACTAATCATTTATAAAACATTCATAATTACTTTGATACACTCAACAAACATCATATAATAATTATGTCAGACACCCTTATACCATCATACAACAATCGCACCATAGACACTCATCCCATCATACCACAATCCCTAATAGACACTCATCCAGATGATATGTTGATGAGCGGTCACGGGAGGTTATGCACTTGTGTTGACCTCTACTCCTCCTTACAAATACACTTTCAAAATACTCCATATCATCCACAAGGTTAGTCCTCAACACTATGTCCAAAATCGGCACATTAGAGTATTAGGATAACCTCCAACAACAGGACCCTCAACATCAACATATACAATAATACCATGTTATTACAGAATCCACGAGACTCATATCACGCTCATATTCCTCAACTCATACTATACCATTACAAAATCTCCCCATAATACTCATATCATGTTCAGATGCATAAATTCAAATCCAATATAATAAGATACAATCATCACAGAAATCATACAAAATGAATATATCACAAAATAAATTAACAATAATAAAATATCACTATAAATGGTCACCGGAGAAGAATCAAATGTTTGATGAATCAAACTCACCATAAACGCTAGTACATATGACTAGTCACAACTTACTGGATTTGACCAAGGTTGCTCTATGATCAGGGATGTACCAACTCCGATTTTTAAGATTCCTCTATCCTACCATCACAAATATAACCTTAATATAAACGTTCTGGGGAACTAAGAAGTTGAATCTGGCATAGCCGGTTAGACATCTTCTTATCCTTCCAAAAAAATGAATTTATCACATATTTTATATCAATTGAGTATATTGCATAATAGTTTAACAATACTTAATCTGTTCAATAGGATTTAAGTTAAAAACCTATGGAGTAAACTTCCAGGAAAGAGAGGTGTGTCACAATGGACAACTTAAGTACCAAGTCTTTCCTTAGCCAAAGTGTTCCTCAACTAGTTTTTAACAAATTTCTTATTTACAGATTCAAAACAACAACATATAATATTAACATTGAAATTCAATATAGATAAATATACAACAAGCACATATGTTTTTCATTAATAGTATTCACACAGAATTTCAAGACATGAATAGTAATAAAACAATACTTCCTACTCTAAATTCTTCCTAATCTTTCTTTCTTATGGTTTCTCTCTACTTCTTGGTGCAAAATCCCCTCCTACTTGGTATTTATAGGCCAAAATTCTGGTCCTATAACCGAAAGTCTCTTGTCCATTCTTATTTCCAATTCCCCTTATTTGTTTATTTATTATTATTTTTTAATTTATTTATTTTATAAAAAAATATATTTTTGGATAAATGTATTTTACTAGGTTTGAACCTATGTTCTAAGTGTTAGAAGGTGTTTACCATCTGAGCTACTGTAAATTTTTGTTTAACTTATCACGTTTAATTTATATAAGCTTATTAGTTATATTTTCCATTCACAAAGAAATTTATTACTATTAGTAATAAAATTGTTACTATTAAGGTAAATATTTTTCATAGGTCTTATATCAACATTGGTTAATTGGGACGTTTAATTAATACATTATTCAAATAGAAATGACAATAATGAACACATTATTCATAATAAGCCTGATTTGGATTCCACAAATATTAAAAAGAACCACTTACGATATTGTTTTTAAGAAAATCCCATTAGAACATAAAACAGAGAAAAATATATGAATTATTAAGTGATGTATTGGAATTAGGTTCCATTGGTTTGACCGATATTTGTTAATTAAGTTTTAAGCCAGACTACAGGCGAAGTGAATAAGTCAATGCACTTGATTCAGCTAAGGGGGTGCAGTATTTATTGAACCAGTACTCAAGATGATAGATTGCTTCAAAGGCCTCTTTATTTCTCCAGGTAAAGTTGGCAAGACACAATTTGCATGTCTGCGGCAAACAAGGCACAAAAACTCTCCCTTGAAAAAAAGAATGAACATTTCAAAATGCAGAGTGAAAAGATTGTAGAGGCGTCATAACAAAATGAAAATCGGTATTTAAAAAGACTTAAACCTGATATGGGTCAACAATATGTCCTCCCTCAAAAACGATTCTTCTAACATATTTGTTTGGTCACAAAAATAATAATTACTCCGTAGCAAAACAATAAAAAATGACTATTGACTCATTACTTTGTAACCTTTTCTGTACTGCCTATATAAGTGTGCAACATTTAAGTTCATCAGCTTTGATTTGACTGAAGAACTCATCATCTGTACAAATAATGAATAATAATGACTGGACTTAAATTCTCAAACATTTTTGGTAGGTTGGTACATAGAATTTCTAGTGAAGGAAGGCTCTATTCATTCTAAGGCCCTGAGGCAAGAACTTACAATGACATAACAGAGCATACCACCTAATGAAGGATTTGAAAACAATTGATCCTCCATAAAATAATAAAATACATATGAGAAAATACACGAAGGTATTAATGAACACGTAGGGTTCCTAATCCACTAGCATGACAAAAAGGAGAGGAGATTATCTTAAAAAATCACTTTTAATATTTAATTAAATAGCAGTATGCTTGAGATTTAAACTTTTAACTAAATAGTATAAATTATAGTATAAACAATCAGTGAGCACTAAATTCACTAACAACGTCAAGGTTAAAAACTTCAATATTAGGTTATCCATTGAACCAACAACTAAGAAGTTCCTTGTAGTCATAAGGAAAATACATAAGATAAAAATATTATACAAAAGCATCAAGTGCTTATCAAGTTAAACAAATTGCCAAAATCAAACAGTTAATACATGACAAATATCAAGCAAAGAAACCATAGTTCTTTTACCTCTCTCTCTCTCCTCCTTGAAGGAGAGAATCAAGCCAAGCTGCGCAAAGCAGAAATGCTGAAATAACAATGAAATGGTGATAATGCAACTTCTTTTCTCTATCATCAATTGTCCAAACCTGAAAGAGCATAAGAAAATTAATCATAAGTCTAATAATGTCTCTATCATAACTTCTTTTCTCTAACATTTTGATCTTTGAGATATGGATCCATGTTGTTGTCTAGATAGTATAGATCATTGGTTTCATCCTCATCATCATAATGTTCCATGTGGAGGTCCTTCAAGGCTTGTGTTATGTGGAGAACTGGTTTTGATACTCCTTTTGGTATCCATGAAATTAACGAAAACATTGTTTTTCAATACTTTTCTTTGTTGTCCCAAAAATTCTCACCTATTATCTCAACTGCTACACCACGTGATATAGAATTTAAACAATGTGAATGATTTCTTTACAATGCGTGGATGCTTATGAAAAGAAGACAAACCCTATACATAAATAAGTGATATCCATGAGCACATAAACAAGTAGTTAGAATACAAGAACAAATAGCCAAGAAAGTATGATTGAAAATAATAGTTGGATAACCGGATAACGTCCTTCATGTAGGTCTGCACCTCGGTGGCTAGCCTGTTCAGATCGAGATCGGTGGAGGGAGATGGTCGGTCCTCGAGCCACGTCACCTGCGTGACCAGGTAGGGTTTCGTGCGCACCACATTGTTCACTCGAAACCGTTCCTGACCCTTATAGATGAGGAAAAAGCGTTCATCCACGAGGCTCTCATGCTTTATGACTTCGTCGACGCAGCCAACGGCAGCGGTTCTAGAGACGACATTTGTGTAGATGACGCGGAAGCAGAGGTCTGTTTGAAGGAGTGTGTGCATCATGATGCGGTAGCGGAACTCGAAGATCTGCAAGAGGAGGATGGCGCTGGGGAAGAGCACCAGAGGGAGAGGGAAGAGAGGAAGCTCGATGACGTCATCGGAGTTAGGGGAGTTCGTGTGGTGCTTCTCGGAGGAGGAAGAGCAGCGAAGAGTGGAATTAAGCTTCCAACAGCGGTGGCGGAGAAAGGAGAGATTGAGATGGTGTTTGTAGTACAACGAAATGAAGATTATGGTTTGGGAGAAAATGAAGGGAGTAGGAAAATGAAGATAGTGGTTTGGGGGGAAATGTAGGCAACAGGGAGGGATTAAGGTTTCGAGAAAAACGTAGAAGGAATGGAGGTGCAGAAAAACTATTTTAAAAATAAAAAAATTTAAATATTTGGGACGATTTTGGGTTTTAAACCGCCGAAAATTTTTCGGGGTTTCAAAAACCGTCGAAAAATAACCTCTCCTAAACTGTATTATTTTTGTAGTGATCCTAGACCTCAAACTCAAAACAGAATTTAGTGTCAATCCATTCATGAAATTCACTTGGTGTTGAAGATTATAATGAATATATGCAAACAAAAAGTCATTAGGTTTTATCTCAAAAAAAGTTTTCTGTGTTATTTAAGTATGTTTATTTTTGTTAATTGTAGTGTTTTATTTTAATTATAGAAAGAATGGAGCAATTAGCAAGTGTACTTTTCTCCTCTAAAATTTGCTTTGTGGAAGATATGTCACCACACGTGCAATTGAATATTCCGAATCAAGAGGGCTTCATAATCATTTTATATTTGAATATAAGTTCTTTCACATTTACAGTGAAAAATATAGATATATTAAGGTCTTGATTTTATGATTACATAACAGTACAATCTTCACGTGAGTTCTTAGAACTTTGAAATCTTTGTATTGAACACTTCTGTAATAATCAAAAGGCTGAACAATACTAAGTGTAAAATGTAAAAGAAATATGAAGAAAACAAATAAAGAATATATTTTTTTATACACAATGTACATTCAATTTCAATTTAGTCATCCTAAATAAATTATTTTCACTGTTTTTTGGAAAAAAAAACTACAGACACACTATTACCAACAATATGTAACCCACACAAGAAAATAAAATTTTATGAACTCTAATTAAGAAAGAAAAAAAGCAAGTGTAGCAACTTATTACAACTACGTACAATGAATATGTCTAGGTGTAAAACTCAAAACGAAGAAGTAAATCAGAAAGATATCATTTCTGAAAGAGTAAAAGTAAAAAGAATTTGTTCCCAGAATTTTTATTGATATCACTTAGTTCATAAATCGTGGTTGTTTTTAGAAAGAATATAAGTAATTATATATATATATATATATAATAGATATATATATATATATTATTATATATATATATATATATATATATATATAAATTGATTAGGTTATCGTGCTTAGTTTCTAAAAAATATTTTAAAAAAATTCATTGTTTATTTATAAGTAAACATTTTCGAAATAATAAAATATTGCATAAAATAACGAAAAACGATTTTACCATTTTGATAAAAAAACATAATTTTACCGTTAATTTAATAAAACTTTCATTCCATACTAAAATAAATTTATTCACAGAAAAATATTCAAAGATCAAAATTTTATATAGTAAAAATATTATGGGAGAAAATTCTTTCTCAAAATAACAGAAAGCGTTTTCACAATTCCATTTTATCATTGTTTATAGAACTAAAAGAGTGAATGAATTAATTAATTCAAACAACTCTTATGTTTGAGATTTATAAATAGTAATGTTTAAAAAATTGATCGGTTAAGTATTTACTAATTTGATTATAACTTAACCATCTAAAATTATATTAATAAAATAATAGCAATATTAGAATTCATAAAATAATATCTTTAAACCCTCAAAACATAAAAAAAAAAAACATAATTTATAAATTTTAAAATACACGTTTTTGTAAAAGAAACAAATCGAATATAACAATTTATATTAAATATACGATAGTGCTTTATCTAAGCTGTAACCATTCATGACTGCATTTTTTACATTTTATAAAGATGGTATTATAACTATGGTAAAAAGTTGTAGCTAACACATAAAATTCGTAAGACTGATTTACCAACAAATTACATTTAGACAAAAGGTAAATCGGTCATAATTAATGACTACTATGTATTACAAAGTTCAAAATTAATTACTTATTGATATACTATTAATGTAAAAAGATATTTTTTATAGCGATTTTTTTTATGTGTTGTAACTCATTTGGTATAAAAAGTGATGTAGTGATATAAGAGTGAATAAGATAATGCTTTTTATACTTGTTATAGTTATAATTGATATAGAAATTGAATATGATGACATTAATTTTCTATACTAGTTCTAGTTATAACTAGTATAGAAAATATACAAAATGAAATTTTTGTAATAAATAAAAAAAAATTCTATATTGATTTTAGTTATAATAAACATAAAAAATAGTTCTTTTTTTATTTGTAAACACAAACCTATGTTTAAACCCTCCAACTTTCTAAATGCTTGTGGTAGAACCACACACACTTTAATCGTGATTCATCACGACACCACGCCATTAAGAGGTTGCCATCGTGACGCTGACACTAAAGAATGTCTTCATTGAAGTAAGTTCTTCTTCTTCTCATTTAATTGTTTCCCTTCATGTGACAAGGTTTTTCCTCTCATCTCTCTTCTTTACTCTCTTGTCACTACATCACTCCTCCACCCAACTATGGTAGTTGCCTGCAACTTCAATTTCAACCAGAGTCATCATTGGCATTGACACAACACATCTCTCTTCATTCTCCTTTTAGAGTGCGATACTTTAGCATGTGAAAACCCCAAATCAAGATCTAAGATCCTCATGCCCTTAAAACTACCATTTTTATTAAAACCTCTCTTCTGTCTTTCTCAATTAATTTTCAATTTAACTTTATCATTCAACTTATTTAGTATTGTAAATCTATATTTTGAGGAGAAAGGAAGGATGAAACATCTAGTGGTGAGCACCAAATGAGCATATTTGACTACCATGCGAACTCTAATCACCACAACATCATTGAAAAAGTAGTTCAAATAGGAAACAATTTTTCCTCACCAACTCCGATGTAGATTCAATGATGACCATTATGCTTTCTATACCGATTAGGCCTTTAACTAGTATAAAAAGTGACACTTTCTATACAGGATTTGGAATCGATATAGAAAGTTATCACTTGTTTATATCGCCTATGTTTATACTGGCTCTAGAATTGGCATATAAAACCTCTTTTAACCGGTATAAAAAGACTTTTCTATACTAGTAAATTCGTAAGTAATTTTTGCTACAGTTTTTATCATATTGGTTTTTTCTTGCATTAGTTTTGCAATCCTAGACATTTGAAATTTCTCATAAAGTTTAAAATAATTATTGCACTAAAAAAATGTAGAGAATTTATAATATATTATTAAGAGTAGAAAATATTTAAACATACATTATTCTTTATCAAAGTTAACATTGTAAACAATACAAACATTATAAAATTGAAACATCTTAATAAAAAAAATGCAGCCATAATATAGAAAAAGCTCCTCACATATGGTAATAATCAGTATAAGCACGAGGTGAATTAGCTTTTCTTCATCGTGTTGTTGCAGCTGTCGATTATCCTGCACTTGATTTCGTTGTTGTTGAGTTTTTGGTGGTTGACAAATATTTTGTGCAGTTGCTACTACTAGAGACAGGATATATTGGATGATTGTACCAATAAAATTCTATAAGCACTAGTGCAAAAACAACGTATAACGTCATGCGTTTAATGTCGAACCACTTAATAGCCAACGTTAAAAATAACCGGTGACATTTTTGTAAATAAATGCAATTATTAACCGTCATTTAGAATTGTAATTCGGCGTAAAAGGATATAAAACGTCGAATGCCCCAACGTTAGACGTCAAAAGGTTAGTGAATTTAATAAAAATTTGAGCGGGAGATTGAAAATCCATTCACTTTATCTTAGCGCGTGAGACCCTCTTTTATGCTCAAACTTTTCTCGAACGATGTTTGACGACCATCACATGTAATCTTTCTTTCATTTGATACAAATGCATGTTAATTTACTATTTTAGGTATGATTTTCGTTTATTTTGACCGATTATTTTCGTGTTCTTGTCCTTCATAGGCTCATTCTTCTTTCTCTCTCACTTGTGGCAACACTTTATTCCGATGAATCAATGTTAGTTTTCGTTTTCGTTTTGAAGAACTTATTTGTTGAACTTGTTTGTTGTTATTTTTTGTTGAACTTGTTTGTTGTTATTTTTTGTTGAACTTGTTTGTTGTTGTTGTTTGGTTAAACTTGTTTGTTGTTGTTGTTTGGTTGAACTTGTTTGTTGTTGTTGTTTGATTGAACTTGTTTGTTGTTTGTCATTGTTGTTTGTTGTTGATATTATATTGCACGTTCATAATTCATGCTTTACAAAATACCAAAAACTGAAATTTGTTGTTTTTCTGCTTTTCAGCTTAGTAGAGTTGTAAAAAAAGATCACAATTAATTAAAAAAAATAAAAAAATATATTTAACATCGTTTATTGATAAAATTCGACGTCAATTTAACGTCTTTCGATATGACGTCGTTCTCGAATTCGACGTAAAAGACCCAAAATATTCGACGTTGTACGCTGTTTTTGTACTAGTGAAGGTTTGAAATTGGGTTTGCATTTGGTTTTAAAATTGGAAACTCATTTGATATCATTGCTCGAACATTTGATTCTCAATAATTAATAGTCATTGTCGAAGTTTTATTAATCCCTCCAAAAGGAACTTGTTGGCTAAAATATGTATGTGCCTATTATAAGTATAAGTAAATGTGAATATGTTATCTCAAGAATGACATGTCCAACCTCATCTATTCGTTCTTTGTACCTTCCACTTGTTGGTGGTAACTAACATTTGTTTTTTAATCTCTCCTCCTCAGCATAAGGGAGTGCATTGTGAGACACTGATAAAACTAGTCTCAAGTAATGCTTGAGAAAATCTACTTTGAAAATCTTTCAATTGAAATAAGACATGTTTGTATTAAAATAATAAATAAATAATTTATGTGTCAAACTATAATAAACATGGAAGAAACTAACATATATGTGTTTGTTAAAAGACTTTATCAACATAGACTGAACGCACCAAACTTCTCTATTTGCAAACATTTTTTTTTATAAAGTAAGCAATTGATATTACATCATAAATCAACACAAAAATATATTAAAGATGTCATACAAACTAGTATGGTCATGACCAATTAAGACAAATTGGAAGAAAAAATATGTTAATTTCATTAATCTCATTTATTTTTTAATAATTACTTTTTAAAGTATGTAAGAAACAATCTATATGTTAATGATGTTTTTATATACTTACGGATCTAATTATATTTACATACATATTTTGGTGTTAAGTATTTTCCCGCCTTAACTTTAAGTTTATGTAGAAGATTATATTTACGAATAGTTTCTACAAAATATTTTGCGTGTTATCTACAAATAAATTTGTATGTATGATAACTTAAATAATAATTCATATGTAAATTTCGTAAATAAGTTATGTTTTACCTATAAATTCAAATCTATACGTAAAATTAAGTAGGTAAATCACATTTTTTAAAACTATATAATAGACAAAATATTTGCATATATATATATATATATATGTGTGTGTATATGGTGGGGATTTATGCAAATAAATAAATAGCTTGAAAATTTTAAATATATATAAAACTTTTCATTCCATTTTGTCCTTTCTTATCCATAATTCAGTATCGGTCCCATTCTCTACTAATGTCAAAATATTTTTCTCCGATATTAAAATTTACAAATACATTATTTTCCACTCTGGTAACCTTTGGTTTTAATTCATCTAGTTCACGCATCATCATTATATACGTCAAATTGAATTAAAAAATATTTAATATAAATTTATTAATGTAACATAAACTATAACAACTAAAATATGGATTATTCTAAATATAAGATGTCAAATTTTAATTTGAATATAGAAAATAAGACATGAAATAAAAGGGTTGTTACATGCTAGTCAAAAAGAACTTTAATGATAACTTATTGAAACTTTAGAACAAAAGACTAAATAATGTTAGTGATACACGTGATTCTTAAAGGGTTGGATTTGGATAATGTTTCTTTCATCGACCTTTATAAATAGCAAGAACTATGTAGAGATAGACACAAATATATATTTTTTTTATAAATATTCTTTCTCCTTCCTGAAAAGGTAGTTTATTTAGGAGAAAGTACTACAAATATAATCAAAAGACACTGTAATTGGATGTAACATTTTGTTTGTGTAATGAGGATTATAATTTATGAAGGAATCGTTTTGTTTTGGAAGACAGAAGATATCGTAAGTCATTTTCGAATGGGAAAGCAAGAAGGTGCCTTTGCCGTTGCAGAATCTTTTTGTGATTTGTTAATGAATTAGATTGTAATAAAGAATGAAGAATCTTTGTAAAAAAAGGATGAATCAAAATTTGTCTTTTTCGACCTTTAAATCCTCTTAAAGTGAAACGTGGTGCACGATTTCAGACATCGAGGGTAAAAGCTAGAAGGATATCAAAAGGAACAGATCATGTTTTTTCTTCAAATCAAAGTTTTTCATCAAACTCAAACCTGAAAGCGAAACCCTAAAGTTATTGCCCCATTTATCATTCAACTGTTATTTTCACCTTACAAATCTTCAATATTATTGAAACGTGCACACAGATAACATATTTAATAAATTTATGTATTTTAATGTTGGTGAAAATTTGATACGACATTTTATTATTATAATGGTATCACTGTCATGGATAGAATGAACCTAAATTTCAAAGTTTTAAGTAAGCTTTGAGATTGGGAAGATATTAGATTAAAAGAACAATAATATTTGTTAAATAAAAATTAATATTTACAATATTATACTTTCAAGTTTGATACATAGTACAAATCTCAAATTTCAAGCTATTTTTATGAATTAGAATTAAAATTTACTTTTTAATATGCTATCACATCATGAATTAGAGTTTGTCTTAATAAATTTTATGTTTATTGAACATATCATTTTATCTCATATATATCAAATTATTATCGAATCGATTCTTTCATTAATGTCTAGTCTCAGGTATGATATGTATATACCACGCTATAAAGAAGTGTATTGAAAATATTACAATAACTAGAAATAAATTCAATTTAAAATATGTGAAAGTCTTTCAAAATAATTTTATGAAATTAAATTATATTCAAATTTCACTCTTAATCCATATATTTAATAGTGAGATAATCAAGTCCGTTTAAAAGCTAACGTAGTGGGTTAAAATCACATATAAACTTGTTTATGAGTTACTTGATTTCGAAATGCTAGAAACCAAAAGGAGGAACACATTACACACAAGAAAAGAATGGACTGTCATACTATTGACTAAGACACAAAAGACAAATCTGGATCTCAGATGAAGGTAGGTTAATTTTAAGGACCATGATATGTTAACAAATTTTTTTAACAAATTTTTTTAACAACTTTTCGATAATAGATTATGTGTCACTATTCTATTTTATTGGTTCATATGTTTAAAACAGACCAATCACAACCTATCACGTAAGTTGTTGTAAAAAATTGTTAAAAAAACATTTTTATAATTTTAACTCTATGTCTCCGTTTGTAATTATGTAAGTATTTATATTTATAAAATTTGTGTTGTTAGATAAAAAAAAGTTAAAAGCATTAATTATAGGGTGATGGCTATC